TTATTCTCCAATAAAGTGGAGGAACATCTAATAGAATACATGTCTTTGCTTAAATGTTTAAAAGCGCATTAGTATTTTATTATATTATCACCAGAATGACTCAAAAATTGGGCTAAAAATTTGCCAAAAAATTGTCCCAAATAATTTAACGTTTCCCAAAAGGACTCAAAACTTGTTCAGACTTGCATCCAAAGGGACTTTTGTCCAAAATGATTTTTAAAAACGGGTCTAAAAATGACTTAAAGTGTTAAAAATGACTAAAACAATCTAAAATGACTTCACAAGAAAGACCTATAAACTGCTGCTTGGAGTTCAGAGGGTTAAAGGACCGCCAGTACCGATAGATTCTGACCCGTGGACGCGCCTCGGTTCTCATCCCACTCCTCAGCTGCAGCATTCGTCCTCAGTAGGTGGAGACTCAGATGAGCTCATGATGGCTGATGAAGGCTTGAGCATGTAGAATCAGCATCGATGAGCTCCGTAGACTGATAGTGCATCGCCCCGCTCAGCGCCGAGTGCTTCACAGGTCCATCCATTAGCCCGCTCCTGTGGGCATTAATGCATCTGAAAGGTTCCCCTTCTGCTCCCCAGGCCTCCTCCACAGCTCGCCGGACTCTCTGGCCGAGTCCTGGTTCCGAGCCAAGCTGAGCCGCCAGCGCAGCTACAGCTCGGCCCACTCGTACGAGGAGTCGGACCTGGACCTGAGCCGCTCCCTGGGCATCCACGCCCTTATCGACAACATGGTCAGCTTCATCAGCGGCGACGTGGGCCTGGCGCCGGCCTTCAAGGAGCCCGAGGAGAGCATGTCCACCAGCCCTCAGGCCACCATCCTGGCCATGGAGCAGCAGCAGAGCAGGGCGGAGGTGAGGAGTTCAGGAACATCCAGAAGGAGGATACCGGCGTTAACTTAGCAGCATACGAGGCTTTAAAATGCAACATGTGTCATTATGATCATTACATGCTTGATGTTAGGCTGATTATCTCGATGTAATGTTCATAAAAAATATTATAAATTATTATTATTGTAGCTAGAGGTGGGACAACTCATGAAAATCATAAGAGGAGAGCAATAATGTGAGGCTTTTTTGACATTTTAAAAATGATTGGCATGTTAATGAGTCCTTTGTCTCTGTAGTTTTTACTAGTTTATTACCTTTAATTTAACAAAACAGGGAAAATCTGTGAAATAGCAGTGAACTGTTGTATAACGTTGGTGTGTTATTGGAGCTTTGTGGTGCCAGATATCAGCCCTTCACTGCTCGTATTAAGAGAATAGTCCATGTTCCTGGGTTCTGGGACGACCCGCTCAGTGTTACCAACTCTGTTCTGTCTGCAGCTGCGGCTGGAGGCGCTCCACCAGATCGTGGTGCTGATCTCCGGCATGGAGGAGAAGGGCAGCCAGCCGGGCGGCGCCGACCGGTCCAGCAGCGCCTTCCAGTCCTCCTCCCTGCTCACCTCCGTCAGGCTGCAGTTCCTGGCCGGCTGCTTCGGACTCGGCACCGTCGGAACCGGAGGCCTGAAGAGGGAGAGCGTCCAGCTGCACCACTACCAGGTACGGTCGGGTCACGTGACCAAAGACTCCCAGAATCCCCTCCGATCCCGTTTGGTTTGACCCTCGATGTTTTCCTGCAGGACGGCGTGAAGGCAGCAAAGAGGAGCCTCCAGATGGAGATCCAGACGGCCGTCCACAAGATCTACCAGCAGCTGTCGGTCACGCTGGAGAGAGCTCTGCAGGCCAATAAGCACCACATAGGTAACACAAAGCTAGGGTTCTGGTCTGAGACTGGTTCTGGTGACGCTCAGTGACTCTGAGAAGCTGCACATATGAGGACCTCGACATTTATTATGAAATCCTGTAACCTCACCTCGTTAAAGTTAAAATTCTTTTCCACTCCAGAGGCTCAGCAGCGCCTCCTGCTGGTGACGGTGTTCGCCCTCAGCGTGCGGTACCAGCCGGTGGACGTCTCTCTGGCCATCTCCAGTGGGCTGCTCAATGTCCTGTCCCAGCTGTGCGGTACTGAAACCATGCTGGGTCAGCCTCTGCAGCTGCTGCAGAAGCCCGGCGTGTCTCAGCTCAGCACGGCGCTGAAGGTGGCGTCGACCCGCCTGCTGCAGATCCTCGCCATCAGCACCGGGTAACCCACGCAGCAGGTTTATGCATCTGAGACGGCGATGAGAAGGCTGTGCTTCAACAGCGCTGTGTCTCTTTGCAGGACATACGCAGACAAGCTGAGTCCCAAGGTGGTCCAGTCGCTGCTGGACCTGCTGTGCAGCCAGCTGAAGAACCTGCTGTCTCAGGCCGGAGTCAGCGTCCTGTCTGCAGGGAAGGACCAGGAGGACACCAAGCACGAGGACGGCGCCGACTCCGAGAAGAAAGACCTGAGAGGTGAGCAACGTTCATCAGGCTCTAGTCGGGTTTAGTGACCTGGTGTATGTTTCAGGGCTGCAGGTGGATCAGTGGTTAGCACCGTGGCCTCACAGCTAGAAGGTCGCCAGCTGGCGTCCCGGTGAGGACACCCAGGATCTTTCTGCATGGAGTCTCCATGTTCTCCCCGTGCAGCGTGGGTTCTCTCCGGGTTCTCCGGCTTCCTCCCACAGTCCAGAAACAGATAGAAATATAAAGAAACTTACAGTCAGCATGAGAAGTGCTCTTCAGTAGCGCTCAGGTTCTCTGCAGCGTTGGATGCAGATTGTATTAAATGCAGTGAAAGCATCCTGTAACCGTATTTATGTCGGTATGGTTCTGATTCTCAGCGCTGATCCGGAAGCAGCACACGGCCGAGCTGCACCTCGGAGACTTCCTGGTCTTCCTGAGGAGGGTCGTGTCCTCCAAGGCCATCCAGTCCAAGATGGCCTCCCCGAAGTGGACCGAGGTTCTGCTCAACATCGCGGCCCAGAAGTGCTGCTCAGGTAACGCAGCAGCAACACACATAAAACAAGCAGTGATTGATTGAACACAGACAGTTCTGAGACCTGCTGTTGACCACAGGCGTCCCGCTGGTGGGGAACCTGAGGACCCGGCTGCTGGCGCTCCACGTCCTGGAGGCCGTCCTGCCGGCCTGCGAGGCCAACATGGAGGACGACCAGATGACCCAGGTAGCCTGTTCTGGACAAGTCCACTAAATAATGCTAGATTAGACTCAACTTTACTGTCACTGCAGACGACGAGATGCAGTTAGCATCCGACCAGAAGAGCAAAAGAAGAATAAAAGTGAAGCATAGATGTTTGCATTGACTGAACACACTCATAGATACGATTACCTGTAGGTGCTATAAGTGTGCTGACTTCCTCCAGGTGGTGGAGCGGCTCTTCTCTCTGCTGTCGGACTGCATGTGGGAAGCTCCCATCGCTCAGGCCAAACACTCGATCCAGATCAAGGAGAAGGTCCAGGAGCTGAAGCTGCAGGTGTGAATCATCTCCCAGCCTCACGTTCAGGTTTCCCTCCGTCTGTCTGAGTGTCTGACAGCTGCTTTGTTCACAGGGAGACGCCGAGGAGGAGGACGAGAACCTGCCCATCCAGGAGGTGTCCTTCGACCCGGAGAAGGCCCAGTGCTGCGTGGTGGAGAACGGCCAGGGCCTGACGCACGGCAGCGGGGGGAAAGGCTACGGCCTGGCCTCCACCGGCATCTCCTCCGGCTGCTACCAGTGGAAGGTAGAGGCACGCGTTAGCCCGGACGGTATCTGTGTTCACTGTTGGGCGTCGGGGTTAACCGCTGCTTGGTGTCGCCCACAGTTCTACATCGTGAAGGAGAACCGAGGCAACGAGGGCACGTGTGTCGGCGTGTCGCGGTGGCCCGTTCACGACTTCAACCACCGCACCACGTCGGACATGTGGCTGTACCGAGCCTACAGCGGGAACCTCTACCACAACGGGGAGCAGACGCTGACGCTGAGCAGCTTCACTCAGGGAGACTTCATCACCTGCGTGCTGGACATGGAGGCCAGGACCATCTCCTTCGGCAAGAACGGGGAGGTGAGGCTGCAGGTTTTCTAGTGTCTAAACAATGTCTGCTGACCAATAGCTGACAATGAGCAACAATTAATCTTTATTCCATATGCTGAGGAGGTCTAAGATGCAGAAGTGTAACCTGTGACATCTGTAGTTTGTCCTGTTATTGGGGCTTATTGTGAAACCTGAGTTGTGGTTGGAGGTTGTTTGTCATGGTCTGTCATGGTCCCGTTAATGCTAAAGAGCCAACATGAGCTGTAGTCTGTAGACGCCTCCTCTGGCTCCACCTGGTGGAACAACCAGGTACTACAGCTGGTCTATGATACTTAAAGCATGTGTTATCTGGGAAATGGTTCTCCAATCAGCTGAAATGTTCAGAGACTCAGAGTGGACTGGGAAAAAAAACCTTGATGATTACATCCCTAATCATTGGTTCTAACTACAAACATGTGACTGCACAGGAGCCCAAGTTGGCCTTTGAGGATGTGGACGCCACAGAACTTTACCCCTGCGTGATGTTCTACAGCAGTAACCCTGGAGAGAAGGTAAGAGGAGATGTAGAGCAGTCCGAGACACTGAAGACACCACAAGGAGGGTTTAAATCACATTATTTACTCATTGATGGAGGAGGATGCAGCAAGAATCACCAGACATCTCATTCAGCCAGGTTGTTATGGTTGAGCTAGAGATAATGTGAGGGTTGTTCTTCACCGAGACCACTGATTGGTTAAAGAATACGAAGGACTCCACTGTTTGACCACAGGTCTGTCAACAGGTTGAAGATTTGGGTCACCACAATCAGGGTATTTCTGTTCTGAACATGTTCTTGTCTTTGTTGTCTAGGTGAAGATCTGTGATATGCAGATGAGGGGAACACCTCGGGACCTCCTCCCTGGAGACCCGGTCTGCAGCCCGATGGCCACGGTTCTGGCCGAGGCCACCACGCAGCTGATCCGCATCCTGCACCGCACTGACCACTGGACCCACCGTATCAACAAGACCATGGTGGAGCGGCTCCACAAGATCAAGCCCTGCTTCAGGGAGACGGCCGGTGCCTCGGCCGGCGGCGGCCAGCGGCTGAAGAAGAGCCGCTCGGTCCAGAGCCGCGAGGAGCACGACGCCCAGAGAGACACCCAGGAGACAGGCGGCCGGACGGAGGAGGAGCGAGGGCGCCACGGCCGGCAGCACGGCCTGGGCGAGCTGTCGGAGCTGCACCTCCGCACGCTCTGCACCGACGTCTGGCCGGTGCTGGCCGTCATCGGCGGCGTGGACGCCGGGCTCCGGGTCGGCGGCAGGTGTGTCCACAAGCAGACGGGCCGACACGCCACCCTGCTGGGCGTGGTGAAGGAGGGCAGCACCTCGGCCAAGGTCCAGTGGGACGAAGCCGAGATCACCATCAGGTACCGAGGGAACGCTTCACCGCGGCGCCGGCCGGGTTTACTTTGTTTCTGTGTGTTGCTGTTTACTGACACGTTTATGGGTTTATCAGATATTTGTACGTTTAATTAGGTTTGTGGTGATAATCACAGTCACAGCTGAGTCGAGGTTGAGCTGCTGAATACACAGAAGAAGTGTTGAACCCTCTGAACTCTGGAGCAGTTTCTGGGTGATTTTAGCTTCTGTCACATTTTTCCTCCCTTTGGGTTCAACATGAAGTCCTGTCGCTCTACAGAACCAGAACCCTAACTCTCAGAAATGGCTTCTGTGCAGTTGCGAAAAGTCATAAAAACAGAAAAGCTTTTTGGTAACTGGTCATAGAGAAAACAAACGGAACCAGGTCCAGTGTTCAGACTGAGACACCTGGATGGATGTAGAACTGATCTGGTTTCAGGTTCTAGTAGAACCCAGATGTGTTCTTCCTCCTAAATGTCATGTGTCTATCTGCTGTACTGATGAAGTTCTGAGGCTCAGAAATGATGGAAGAAGTCCATTAAAGTGATCAATCTGGACCCTCCTCTGTGGACTTGAAGGACCTGGACCTCTGGAACATTCACAGTCTGAAGGTAGAACTCTGGTCAGTAGATAAAGGTTCTGCAGATACAGAACCAGGTGTTCTGAGGAGGTTCTGGTGGAGGATAGATATCAGTGAGGATAAATGTGACGCCCAGAAACTGCTCAGACAGTTTAAATGAGTGATATGAAGGTGAAACCTGATGATCAGGATTTGGGTTCTTCAGCAGAACTCTGCATGATTCTGTGGTTCAGACGATGAGTCAGAACCAGCTGAATGTCGTTTCTGAATGTTTACTGTCTTCCTCTGAGCCTCTTGTCTTCACCTCCATCTTCCTGGTTTTCCACCTGCGTCCTCTCACCTCCACCACTAACCACCACTCTGCATGTCGCTGTGCGTCACACCTGCACATCCACCTTTTGGTTTGTCTTGCATGCCGTGCTCTTCTCTCCTGCCCTTTCCCTCACTTTGTGTTTCCTTCCCTTGTCTCTTCCACTTCACTCCCTCCTATTAAAGCTTCCCAACTTTCTGGTCGCCTAGTGACACTCCTCTGTACAACCTGGAGCCGTGCGAGCCGCTGCCCTTCGACGTGGCCCGTTTCCGCGGGCTGACCGCCTCGCTGCTGCTGGACCTCACCTACCTGACCAGCATCCACGAGGAGACGGCCGCCAAGCTGAGCGCCCGCCGCCACGAGAAGAAGCATCGCAACGCCGCGTCCACCGGACACGAGCCGAGCGGCGGCGAGGAGAAGGCCGACGGCGAGAACCAGAAGGAGAGCTCCGGGTCGGCCCCGAGCGCCACCGCCTCCGACCTGAGGGTCTCCCACAGCCTGGACGAGGTCAAAGCTCATGTGGCGCCCAACTCCAAGTCCGAGAGCGAGATCTCGTCGGTGGCCGGCGGCGGAGGCGGCAGCGAGGCCCTGTTCAGCTCGGCCGCTCACGCCCCCGCAGACGGCGGCAGGAAGAAGGGCCACGACCACGGCTCCCGCGGCCACGAGCCGTCGGCCTCCTCCGTGGCCACCCAGTCGGAGGTCCACGCCGTGCAGCTGTCCTACCTCTACCTGGGCGCCATGAAGACGCTCAGCGCTCTGCTGAGCTGCAGCAAGTACGCCGAGCTGCTGCTCATCCCCAAGGTAGCGCCGCCCACACGTCCAGCCAGCAGGTTCAGGGGTGGAGGAGGAATCTGAACAGAACAGAACCTCCTGACGGGGAGTTTGGTTGTTCCAGCACCAAGAGTAAAGTGACCATAAATACAGATAAATAAGCAAAAAATAAAAAATAAGAAAATATAAAATGCAACATGTACAATGAGTGTAAAATGAACTTTCAGTAGAAATGTCCCGTGTGGTGAAAATAATATGCATGAGTGCAACACGTTTTAGGTAATTTTCTACAAAGTTTGAATCATTTTGAACAAGTTATGAGTCATTTTGTTCATTTAAAAAATAATAATTTTAGGCAATCATGAGTCACTTTATACTCATTTAAATCCATTTTGGTCGTTCCTTTTTCATCCTGGACAGGTTTTGAGTCATGGTTTGCACATTTTGTGCCTTTTTTGATCATTTTTAACACGTTTTGAGTCATTTTGTGTAAATTTTGAGTCATTCTGGACAAGTTTGAATTATTTTTTCAAATTCTAAGCCATTGTGTGCATTTTTAAATCATTTCGGTTTATTTATTCTATCCAAATTCCAATCCCGTTTGGATTATTTTTTATTCATTCTGGACAGATTTTGAATCATATTGTGCTTTTTTTTTTTTTTAAAAGTTGAGAAATTTTGAGTAATTTTGTTCATTTTTAAATATGTTTTCGCCAGCTTGTCCAAATTTTAATTCATTCTGGACAAACTTTCTGTTATTTGGGACAATTTCTGCCTAATTTTTTGACAGATATCAAGTCATTTTTGAACATTTGAAGAAATTTTAAACAACTTTTTTGTCATTGTGACTTTGCTTCGAGTCATTTTGCATAAACAGAACTAAAAATGGCTCCAACTCAAGCTTGCAGACCGTTTACATGCATAAAAAAGTAGCAGTTTAACACACTGATGGAAAGGAGGAACCAAAAAGCCGATTATGGACTCTTCAAAGATAAACCTGAGGTTGTACAGTTTGGCAGAGCAGGAAGACTTCAGATGTAGGATGAGTTTTATAAGACAAAGGGATTCAGCACGAGTCTTGATAGATGGAGGGAACACTGGTGTAACAGGAAGCCGTCTCCTGCAGCCTGTCCTGTCTCTGACCTCCAGGTGTTACCAGAAGCAGCAGCCAGCGGCCACAACGCCGACCTGAACGCCGGCACCAGCGGCAGCGCCGGCGCCACGTCGCCCGTCTGCCAAGAGGAGGTGGAGATGAGGGCGGCGCTGCAGTTCCTGATGCGCCACATGGTGAAGAGGGCGGTGATGAGGTCCCCCATCAAGAGGGCGCTGGGCCTGGCCGACCTGGAGCGAGCTCAGGCCATGATCTACAAGCTGGTGGTGAACGGGCTGCTGGAGGAGCCCAATGGAGGCAAGACCAAGCCAGGTGAGGACTGATCCCAATAAAATCAACTAAACCTGTTAAAATACCCTCCAGAACCGCCTCAGAACACCTGGTTCTGTACCTGCAGAACCTTTATCTACTGACCAGAGTTCTACCTTCAGACTGAATGTTCCAGAGGTCCAGGTCCTTGAAGTCCACAGAGGAGGGTCCAGATTGATCACTTTAATGGACTTTTTCCATCATTTCTGAGCCTCAGAACTTCATCAGTACAGCAGATAGACACATGACATTTAGGAGGAAGAACACATCTGGGCTCTGGTAGAACCTGACACCAGATCAGTTTGGGTCAGAACCAGTTCTAGCAGATCAAAGGTCAGATGTTCTGAGGAGGTCCGGTTGGAGGCTCTGGTTGATTTCTGATGAATCTAAGCAGCTAGTTTTCTGTGGTTTTCATGTAACATCTGATGTGTTCTGGCTGCAGACAGACTCCTGACAGATTTACGACCTTTGCCTCCTCCAGGGGTGAGGACCGAGCCGGAGGGTGAGGGGGAGGGACCGGAGGGGGAGCAGCTGGCCCAGACCCCGGTCACCACCAGCCCCTCGGCCTCCAGCACCACCTCCTTCATGAGCTCCTCCCTGGAGGACACCACCACAGCCACCACGCCCGTCACCGACACCGAGACCGTCCCGGCCACCGAGTCTCCGGGCGTGATGCCGCTCAGCCTGCTCAGGTCAGAACCGGTCCCTCTGACCCAGCCCGGGGTGCTGGAGGTTCTGGCAGTTAGAGAGTCCACGTTCTGCTGCTCGTTCCTTCTGTTCTTCAGCTTCCTAGATAGCTGCTTGTTGTGCACGAGTCATTTTAGACGATTCTGAAGTTTCTACTGACTTTGTTCATTTAAAAACATATTTAGATTCATTCTGGACAAACTTTCATCAGTTTGTCATATTTTTTGTCATTTTGAAAATGTTCTGAGACATTTTGAATTATTTTTTGAGTCATTTTGGAAATTTAATGTCATGTGGAACGATTTTTAAGTAATTCTACACAAGTTGAATGTCATTTTATATAATTTTGTACAAATTTTAAGTCATTTTCTGAATTTTCTGAGTCATTCTTGACCATGTTTGAGCGATTCGGGACATTTTTCAAGCTATATTGGAAACTTGAAATCATTTTGGACCGTTTGGTGTCACTTTGTAGAAGTTTTAAGTCATTTCAGACATTTTGTTCCTCAGTGGGAAGATGCTTCGTTTAATTTTGGGAACAAAAACTAAGATAATAAAAACGTTCCAAAGGAACATCATTTACACAAGAAAGGTCCAAAATGACTCATAACTAGTGTCAAAGGAACAAAAGCTAATGACAGATTTGTTCTGATGGATCTGCCTCCGACAGACAAATGTTCTCCAGCTATCCCACCACCACGCTGGTTCCGACCCGCCGGGCCCAGACTCCTCCGGTGTCATCGCTGCCGACGTCACCGTCGGACGAGGTGGGCCGCCGGCAGAGCCTCACGTCCCCCGACTCCCAGCCGACCAGACCCCAGAACAGGACCGGTACCTGTAAGTGTTACGGACCGACACCGAGGAGGTTTTATGTTGAGCTTGTGGGAGCAGCAGGTCTGAAGCAGACCCAGCGACCCAGCGAGGTGTGGTTCTGTTCTCTGGTGTGATACCGGTCTCCCTGTCCTCCAGCTCTGTCCGACCCCAGCAGCCGCCTGTCCACGTCTCCGCCTCCGCCCGCCATCGCGGTTCCTCTGCTGGAGATGGGCTTCTCCCTGAGGCAGATCACCAAAGCTCTGGAGGCCACGGGTCAGTCGCACCTCGGTCTCATTACAGAAAGGGTCCAAAATCATTTAACATCTTCAGAATCTGCTTCAGAACGACTCAGAAATGGGCTAAAAAACGTGTCTATGTGTTTTTGTTGTTTTAAATTTAGGTCAAATTGATTCACGTTCAAAAATGTTTTATTCTCTACAAATTTCAAGTAACTTCCTAGTTTGTTTTTTGTCATTTTGAATATATTTCAATTCATTTTTAATAATTTTTGTGTAATTCTAGACAAGATCTGAGTCACTTTAACTCATTTTTGACTTTTTTTGTCACTTTGCACAATTTTGAATATAATTTAGTTATTTTGGAGAATTCCTATTTTTTTCACATTTCTAATTATTTTGTAAATTTTTTTTATTATTATTTATGGAGACATTTTGTTAAAAATTTTGTTTTGGAAATTTGAAGTCATTCAGGAAATTTGTGTCACGGACAAGTTTTCAGACATTTTGGAGTGGGGGTTTTTGGGGCATTTTGTACCTGTAACCCTCTGATGTTCCCTCCAGGCGCTCGAGGAGAAGCCGACGCCCAGAACATCACCGTCCTCGCCATGTGGATGATCGAGCACCCGGGAACCGAGGACGAGCACGACGAGCCTCACACCCGGGGCGGCAGCGTGGGCGGCGACGGCGGCTCCGACTCCTCGTGTCCCGGAGCGACCGCCTCGGCCGGAGGGAAGAGCCTGGACCGGAGCTCGTACCTGTGCTCGCCCGGAGACATCGCCAGCGCCGACGCCTCCGAGATGGAGGAGGGCTTCAGCGAGAGGTAGACGCAAGGTTTTACAGATCCAGAACACAGAACCGCCTCGTGGGGCAGCAGTTAGTGCAACAATAACATAACAAATACATTAAAAGACGGGATGTTGGCGTTAGTGGAGGATGAACTTCCAGCTCAGTCAACGCTGCCTTCTGTTGAAAACCCGACTCATTTGATGCCAGAATCATCGTCTAGACACGATCCAGGGATGTTCTGAGAGAGTCACACGTTAACATCAGCAACATGTAAAATCTGACTTTCTGTTTATTTTCTATTTTTAATTAAAAGCCTGATGATTCCTGCAGCATCATTTTCTGCTCTGAAGAAAAGTGTTGGTTCCATCATCTGTGTTGTTTACAGTCAGACCACAGTGACAGAACCAGAACCGAGCTGTTAGAGGAGAATCTACAGACTCTGAATGCTGCAGCTTGTTCTGATTAAACTCTTGTTTCAGGATTTAAGAGCTACAAGAGAAATAAAATGAGGATATGAGCGTGTTAGAACAATATCTTCCACAGAAGGGCTCATGAGTAGATGAACGGTCTCATCATGGACCGACCCTGTTCTTGTAGTGAATAAGTTCTGTGTGTGTTGTGCAGTCCGGAGGGTTTGGACCAGGACAGCGCTTCGGCCTCCAGCGGCGCCCCCCTCAGAGGTCGGTCCGCGGTCGGCAGGAAGCACCGCTTCGACCTGGCTGCTCGCACTCTGCTGGCCCGGGCAGGTGAGACACCGACACGCCGTCCACCTTTGTTCACATTAACCACAGCTCAGACTGACCAGAACCTGCCGCCCTCCCCAGCCGGGCTGTACCGCTCGGTGCAGGCCCACCACAGCCAGTCCCGGCGCGAGGTGTCGTCGCTGCAGCAGCAGCAGGACCCGGGCGCCCTGTACGACTTCAACCTGGACGAGGAGCTGGAGATGGACCTGGACGAGGAGACCATGGAGGCCATGTTCGGCCAGGACCTGGCCAGCGACACCGACATTCTGGGAATGTGGATCCCGGAGGTACTGGACTGGCCAACATGGGTGTGTGTGACTTTATGCTTCGGCCCGACAGCTGCCCCCCCGCTCTGCCCTTTACCTGCCCTGCATCCCCCCAGTAGACTCACCTGTGCACGCTGATTAGATGCTTCACCTGTTGAGCGCTGATCTAACGGCATGAAGGGAAACTGAGGCTACCGCAGCTCAGACCACCAGGCTCTGGTCAGACGTCTCTGGTTGACCCGATAGCTACTGGATCTGGATGTTTGTTGAAATATCTGAAGTTCTAGCTTCACAGTTTAAATAGTTTTGGAGATGAATGTGATTTAAAAATGATCCCAGCAGGTTGTTGTCAATATTTCAGGAAGCATTAAAGATAAAAACCTGACATGTTCTGTTATTTCTCATCAGAATCTGAATCTCTGATTACAGGTGAGTTGAAATATGAGAAATAATTTGAATGCGTCATAAAAAGTTCCATCTTTGAGCTTATTAGTGAAAAAAAATCAGATAAAGCAGAAGTCAACCAGCTGCAAGTCACAATAATACAGAACTCAACATATAATGCTTTTATTTTGAAATACGTGGTCACTATAATGACTAAAACTTGCCATATTAAAAAATAAAATAAATTCTGAGTTATATTTTGGAACCATTTTAAAACTTTGTCAGACGATCTACCAATATTTCAGTTATTAAATCAGTTATTAAAGTTCAGTGAAACTAACTTTGTTTTTCTTTTAACGTGCCAGTATTTCACAATAAAATTGTTCTACATGTCTAGTTTTGTATGACTGTGACCTGCAGCTACATGTGGGTCAGAAAGCATCACTGGTTCTGCTTTATCAGTTATTTTGTAAATGTGAGCTTAAATATACACGTTTTTCCTCATATTTCAACTCACCCATAACCAGAGATAAATCCGTCTTTATGTCCGATGTGACGGGTTCTGGATCAGTGACATGATGAGAAGTAGCACAGAAGCTTCCCGGGTTTTATCTTTAACAGTTCCTCAGACGTTGTCGTTCAAACAGCTTAAGGAAAACAAAACCTGCTGAAAGTTGGTTGGAATTTAAAAGAATAAAACTCTAAACACATGTGATCTATAAAGCTCCTGTTCCTTATAGATATAATGTTAAATGTTCGTATTTCTGATCCAGAAGTGAGTCAGAGATGGTCGAGCAGAAGGACCCTGATGATCTGAGATGTTTGACCCTCTCCTGTCAGTGGCTGCTGCTCGGTTCTCCTTCACCCAAACTAACCGCTGATTAAACTGCATGCATGCCTGGATGGCGTCTTCACGTGCGCGTCTTCACGTGCGCGTCCCTTCCTTTCCGCAGCACGTGTGTGAGACCGACGACCGGGACGAGGTGGTGGTGTGCGAGCTGTGCGAGGCCAACGTGGCCAACTTCAACCAGCACATGAAGAAGAGCCACCCGGGCTGCGGGCGCAGCGCCAACCGCCAGGGTTACCGCAGCAACGGCTCCTACGTGGACGGCTGGTTCGGCGGCGAGTGCGGCAGCGGCAACCCCTACTACCTGCTGTGTGGAGGCTGCCGGGAGAAGTACCTGGCCATCAAGAGCAAGGCCAAGGTGCCTGTCGTGGAGAGGTGGGGTCGCTTTGTTCTCATGGTTCAGCCAATCAGAGATAAATGCGTCTGTGTGTCCGATATTACAGGTTCTGGATCAGTGACAGGATGAGAAACAACAGAGAAGATCTCAGGTTTCTGTCTGTAATCGTTCCTCAGATGCTGTTGTTCAAACTGTCTCAAACTGAGAAGTCATTTAGGACGACTGGCGAGTGAATTTGGACACTTTGAGTCAGTGTTTTGTCAATTTGGGCTTTTTTAATGTAATTTTAGGAGAAATTGTGGTAGTTTTAGATGAAAACGAGTCATTTTTGACAATCTTTTGAACAATTTTGAACAAGTTTATGTCACTTTAAACACATTTTGAATAATATTGATCGTGAGTATTTCCACTTTTACGGTCTCCAATAACTTTTTCACTCCATTCGTCACTTAAAACTCTTATTTTGGTAAATTTTCAGGGGTTTTTTTCACCAAATTCTTTCATTTTAAGACAAAACTTGAGTAATTTTGTATGAATCATGTCATTTTGGACAAACATTTAGTTATTTTGGGCAACTGTCAGGTGAAGTTGGACATTATACATTTTGAGTCAATATTTTGTCAATTTTGACTTTTTTAATGTAATTTTGGAAGAAATTTCAGTCACAGATGAATATGAGTCTATTTTGACAATCTTTTTGTCATTTTGGACAAGTTTATGTCTCTTTGGACATATTTTCAGTTATTTTAGGCAACTGTCAAATGATTTTGGATGATTTTAAGTCATTTTGGAAAATATTTTTTCATTTTGGACATTGTTGTCTAGACAAATTTGATCCATTTAAGACAATTATGAGTCACTTTTGACAATCTTTTGAATAATTTTGGACAAGTTTATGTCAATTTGCAGACATTTTTAGTCATTTTGAAAGTGAACGTGTCCATTTTCACAGCCTCCAGTAACTTTTTCACTCCGTTTGCTCATTTAAACGTCGATTTGAGTTTTAGAGAAAGCAAACACTTTGAACCAGCAGCTTCTATACATGAGCCCTGTGTGTTTTTGGATGTTATTGTTTGTAGCTGATAAAGTTGTTTTGTCCCGGCCCAGGTATAAAGGTCAGGCTCCGGACCTGCTGGGGAAGCAGGACAGCGTCTACGAAGGTAAAACCGGATCATTATCTGGACTCTGACGTGTTTCTCTCTGAGTTTCTGTCGGATCATAACCGTCCTGCTCCCTCTGCAGAGGACTGGGACATGCTGGACGTGGACGAGGACGATAAGCTGACCGGCGAGGAGGAGTTCGAGCTGCTGGCCGGGCCGCTGGGCCTGAGCGAGCGCCGCATCGTACCGGAGGCGGTCCAGTTCCCCGACAGCGACCCGCTCGGGGCCTCCGTCGCCATGGTGACGGCCACCAACAGCATGGAGGAGACGCTGCTGCAGATCGGTACGTATACATACAAGTCGGGTTTTCACGTACGAGGAGTCTGACTCGGTGTTTTAGAGTCTGACAGGAAACATACGGATTAAATAATGCTGCCACTCAGGAGGTGTCAGAGGAGGATCAGCAGGTAATCAGTGTGAGTTCTAGAATGAGCAGATCTTCACTCATCTGCTGAAATCACAGTTTTTAAAATCCTCATTTCAAGCCTGAAGCTCCGACTGAGCCTCTGATGAGTGAAATGTAAATATACGATCGGATCTGATCCACGTTTTGAACTGTTCTTTGTTATCAGTGTTCCAACAAGTAGCTGGTTTTATCTGGGAGTTTATTCTTCTGGAAGAGGAAGTGTTGAACGCCTCAGTGTTCATCTTTTCTCACGCTGATTATAAAATCTGTCGTCCAGGCTGCCAGACGTCGGTGGATAAGAGCTCTTCGGGCAGAGTGACGCTCGGCGAGCAGGCGGCCGCCCTGCAGAACCCCCACGACCGGGTCATGGCGCTGAGGAGGGTGACGGCTGCAGCTCAGGTGCTGCTGGCCAGAACCATGGTGATGAGAGCGCTGTCGCTGCTGTCTGTCAGGTACGACTCACCTGTCTGTCAGGTTAATGTTCACCCATCTGTCGGACGGATTTAGTGTTTACTTCCTGTTCAGGTGAACAAACGTGTTCCGGGATCATCAGAACCCCGTCAGTAACCACAGTTTCCTCCACAGCGGGTCCAGCTGCAGCCTGGCAGCAGGCCTCGAGTCTCTGGGTCTGACCGACATCAGGACTTTGGTCCGGCTCATGTGTCTGGCGGCGGCGGGTCGGGCCGGGCTCTCCACCAGCCCCACGGCCAGTTCCGGTCACGCTGAGAGGCCCAGAGGAGCCGCCAAGGCCAGCAAGCCCATCTCCTGCCTGGCCTACCTGAGCACCGCCGTGGGCTGCCTGGCCTCCAACAGCCCCAATGCCGCCAAGCTGCTGGTGCAGCTCTGCACCCAGGTACCGCTCAGAACCAGAACCAGAACCTCCAGCATGTCAGCACGTCTGAGGGCTGGTGGTCCATTTAGAAATCGGAGCTGCTTTTTAATGAGTTTGAAATTAAAGGATCATTTTAAAAGAATAGTTTAGAATAAACCTAAAATGAGCTTTTTACTTTCAAACCATGAACTCACATCCTGTAAGTGGTCATAAGAGCCAATTTACACATTGACTCTAGAAATGTAGTTAAATGCATTTATTTCCATTAACTCTGCCACCACAGACTCTACTCTAGATCCTCCCGGTGTGTATGTCTGAGCATCTATCAGTCAGCAGCGTCTCCGTTTTCCCTCCAGAACCTGATTTCTGCGGCGACCGGCATGAACCTGACCACGGTGGACGACCCCATCCAGAGGAAGTTCCTGCCCAGCTTCCTGCGAGGCGTTGCCGAGGAGAACAAGCTGGTCACGTCGCCCAACTTCGTGGTGACCCAGGCGCTGGTGGCGCTGCTGGCCGACAAGGGCGCCCGGCTGCGACCCGCCTACGACAAGGCCGACATGGAGAAAAGAGGTTCGTAGAGTCGGAGGAGCAGCGGTCGCCGTCGTTTAGCGCCGGTTCTGTTGGTTTCCTCACCTCATCGTTTCCTCCAGTCACAGATCATCTGGGTGGTTTTGGTTTTTCTTTAATACCAGTAATTAGAAACACTGTAAACGAGCAACTTTAATTATTTTACCTTTTGTAAATGTGTTTATTTTGATTCTTAATTCAAAGAGGAAGTGGTTCTGTTCTGTTTCTCTGCAGTGGTTCTGATGTTTGTTTTCTGGCTTTACTGTAAATCCAACCTGTGTTTGTGTCACTCATTCAGTATTTACATCATCCATCTTCCTCCTGTGCTGCTTTATTCATCATCAATAGTCTGTTTTTGCACCTTTTTATGAGGCTTTAAAATGTTTTTAATCTTTTCCTCTTTTTGTGGTGATTTCACATCTTTTTTCAATGTTTTTGCTTCTTTTTGTATGGATTTTAAAAGAAAGATAAATTTTCCTCCTTTTGTAGTGATTTTATATGTTTTGTCTTTTTTTGCTCCTTTTTTAAGGATTTAGAATTTGTTTTTTTTTTTTAATATAATTTTGCCTTTTTGTGGTGATTTTACATCAGTCTTGAACTTTTTAAAAAAAAAATTGTGCTGATTTAAAATTTTTGTGGCAAGATCAGATCCTTTTTTTTTTTTGCCCATTTTTGTGAGGATTTAGATCTTTTTAAGTTATTTTTGCCTCTTTTTGTGTTGAGTTCACATCTCTTTGGTCTGTTTTGCCCCTTTCTTTGGTATTACAAAGATTTTTTTAGATATTTTTGCCCGTTTTGTGATGATTTCACGTCAGTTTTGAACTTTTTTTTGCATCTTTTTGTGGGTATTTGTAAAGTGTTTGTGGTAATTTCACCTTTATTGTGTTTATTTCACGTCCATTTTGGGGTTTTCTTTTTGAATTGTATATTATCATTTGTGTCCATTTCATACTTTTATCTTTTGCAGATGTGTTTAATATTAAGTTCTGTTCTGTTTCTCTGTATTTTTTCTGGCTTTGCTGTAAATCAGACGTGTATTAGTGTGATTCCTGCAGTATTTACATCACTCATCGCCCTCCTGTGCAGCTCCTCTCTGGTCACCGTTTTGGTTTTTCTGTGTTGTGTCACTTTGTCCCACCGTCGGTCCTCCTCTCACTCACCGGTTGCTCTTGTCACCTTGTGTTCCTGTTCTGAGCAGGTCTAATTGCGCATTTGTATGCCCATCCTTCCCATAATCCCTCCGCTGTAGGGCCTCTGGAGCTGGCCAACGCTCTGGCGGCCTGCTGCCTGTCGTCGCGGCTGTCGTCGCAGCACCGTCAGTGGGCGGCGCAGCAGCTGGTCCGGACGCTCGCCGCCCACGACCGCGACAACAACCAGAGCCGCCCGCAGACCTTCGCCGACATGGCGGGGGACCTGCGGAAGTGTTCCTTCATCAAGCTGGAGGCTCACCAGAGCAGGGTCCGGAGCTTTTATCTCTGTCATCCTTTTTGTTTTCCACACTGGGACTCGGGTCAGTACTTAAGTTCTGCTGTGGTTCCTCTCAGGTCATCACATGCGGCTGGTGCAGTAAAAAAGGCCTGCTGGCGACCAGCGGCAACGACGGGACGGTCCGGGTTTGGAACGTGACCAAGAACCAGTACACGCTGCAGCAGACCTGCATCTTCAACAAGGAGTGAGGCTTTGAGTTTATTCATAATTACCGTAAATTCTGGACTTTTGAGCACCTGAATATAGGCCACGCCCACTGACTGTAATCTGATTATCTTGCAGCAGTCTCCCCTTTAAAGCTTCATGAAGTGAGAACAGTTAAGGGTTAAATTAATAAATGTGTTTATTCTGTTTTCTCTCGTCAGCGATGGATCTTCAGAGGAGGGCATGTCTGGTCTGGGTTCTCCCAGTGATCCCTGTCTGTCCCCTCTGGCCTGGAGCGTCACCGGCCGGTACCTGGCGTCGGCCATGGAGAAGATGGTCAACATCTGGCAAGTCAACGGTAAACAGTCTCCTTCTGTGTCATGTTGTTTTGGTTCGTATCACCAGGGTGTGCCGTCCACAGGATGTGAGTGAGTCTGTTAAGGTTTCATAGCTGCCATTAGGAATGAACTGGACCGGAGGAGGTCCAACCTGGATCCTCCGACACCTGCAGCAGCTCCATCTGTCCGGTTCCTGTCGCCTCCAGCACCAATGCTTTGGTCCTCCAGCACCATGTTTCTGTGTCCCAATCTAAACCTCCATCATGTGGGTAAACACCAGCTCTCCTTCTGCTCCCCTCCAGGCGGTAAAGGCCTCCTGGACGTCCAGCCTCACTGGGTGTCGGCGCTGGCCTGGCCCGAGGAGGAAGCCGAGTCGCTGTGGTGCGGCGAGCCCAAAGACATGCTGCTGGTGGGCCGCATGGACGGGACGCTGGGCCTGATTGAGGTCCTGGACACGTCCAGCATGCACCGCACCGAGCTGGAGCACTGCTACCGGAAGGACGGTACGGACGCTTTCAGTCTCACGTTTTGTTTTAGTAATTCTGTCCGTGGCTCATCAGAACCTGTCCTGTCTTAGTGGCCGTGATGCACATCGCCTGGTACAGCGAGGACAAGCCCTTCGCCGTCGGCTACGCAGACGGAAAACTGCTGATCGGGTCCAAAGAGCCGCTGGAGAAAGGAGCCATCGTGGTCATCGACGCCCACAAGGTAAACCAGAACCACAGAACCGGCTGTCTGCAGGAAAACCAGAGTATATGATCAGAGCCACAGAATAAACCTCATCATGGGACAGCATCACCACAACTAGTAGTCCACCTTAAAAACTGGTGTCTGTGAAGGTTCTCAGTCCTCCAGGTCATGGTTGTCCTCGCAGATTAATCACAGCAGCTGGACTTGCTTGAGTTCCTTGAAGACGTTCCAGCTTCCAGCTCCAGTCTGGACTCTGTGTGTCTAACCTCTAACCTGTCTTCCAGGAGTCCATCACCAGTATGCGCTGGAGTCCTTCGGGTCAGATCCTGCTGACTTGTGCCAAAGAGGAGACGGTGAAGCTGTGGGCCAGTCCCGACTCCGGCTCCGGTTCCGGCTGGCGCTGCCTGCAGAGCCTCAGACACCCGTCGGTGGTGAACGGAGTGGCCTGGTGCAGCCTGTCTGGACGAGGCCCGAAGCCCCTCAGCATGTTGGCCGCGTACGTAGACCTGGACGCTCTCTGGGTTTCAGACGGTTCCCTCTGTTTGGGGACAGTTAACGTACTGCTCATATTTTATGAAGAATTCCTGTCCAGAACTCCCTCATAGTAAATGTCTACACCACATTCTGAACTACAGAATGTCTAAATAAATGAAAACACACATAAAACACAGTCTGGACAGTTTCAGGATCCACAACAACAATCTGACTCCAGTGGATCCCAGCGCTGTGCACAGTTCTCAGGTTCAGTCAGAATCAAAACAGACTGGACGTGACTTCTCACCTGATGTACAGATGATCAAACATAGCGACTCTCTGAAAAGTTTAAGAAGCTGCAGATAAAAGAAGAGACTGATAGCGAGATGTGTATTTGTGTGATTCCTTTACCTGCCAGTAGGGGGAGACAGAAGCTCAGTGCAGCTCTGAAGGTTTCCCCATCAAGCTTTTGAACTAAACACGCAGAATAAAGAGATTTAGATTTGGTTAATAATTCTTATTAAACACTCAAAGACTCCCAGAAAGCTTAATATCTGTTGATTCTTCCTGTTTTTATTCATTTCTAGCTGATAATTGGTTAATTTTTTTAGAGCTAACTCGTCTTTAAAACCCACCAGCAGGTTGAGGCGTTCGTCCTCTTTGAGAATTTAGCTCTGAATACTTTAGTTGTTCCACATTATGCATCTGTTTGTTCCTTGAAGGCGTCCTTCACTGTTGTCTTCACAGATTATTGATTATCAACGATCTCATGGTGATTTATTGATCTTTTATTGGGACTATACGTTTTATTGCTACAGCAAATTGATTCATTTAGCTCCCATTTTGTCAGCTCTGCCCGTTTAAAACCAAAATAATCCCAAATACCTTCCTGTCACGTCGTATGTCACATATAATCCTCTTTATTCTCATCGCTGGCGTGTCGACGCTGGTGTATTCTCCAGAAATACGACTGTTTCCTCTCACTTGCTGTCATTTTAAAGAGCGCCTGTGTTTTTCAGGTGCTGCCAGAACGGGCTGGTCTCCGTCTGGACGGTCCCTCAAGAAATATCCAACTTCCCAGAATCCTCCTCGTCCGACTCGGAGGGATGGTGGGAGGCCGAGGCGAAGCCCAAACTGATGGTACGTTATTCATCTGAGAGTTTATTGTTAAAGGTCACAGATTCAGACCTTGACGTGTGATGTGGCCCTGATCCGTCCCTCCACTGCCCCCTGCTGGTTTAGAGCTGATTTAAGGTTTTATTGATCACATTCACAGCTGATCAGCGTCTGTATGTCAGACACACTGAGGCTCAGATCCTCAACCGTTACAGAGTCGAGGTTTGAGTCTGAAGTCGCCATCAGATTTGGAAGAATCAAGAGTTTTTATTTGTCACGTGCTCGTACATTCTGTGACATTATAAAAAGAACAATTCCTTAAAAACCATAGAAAATACATCCTGTATGACTGGACGTAGAGGTTTTGATGCTAAACCGACGTGAGAAGAAAAAGCTGCAGAAATATTTAATGCTTGCTTTAAGATGATGTCGTCTATTTTACCAATTTTACTTTTATTTTTCTATTTTGAAGGTTTTTTTTATAGTTTTACTCTATTTTCTTAAATTCTAGTTATTCTTGTTCTTATGCTGTTATTCCTGTTGTTTTTTATTTATGTCCATTGATTGTTGTGTGAACTTATTTAGATTTTATTGCTTTCATTCTCAACTTTTTCTTGTCAAAGCGCTTTTAATACCACTTCTTATTATTATTGGTAACAATAATGATTTAATTTTAATGAAAGTCTGCTCATGAGGCGTTTTTCTGATCTTATCTTTCTGTGCTTTCTGTCCTGTGGCGGTGCTCCAGTCTTCCCGGTGGTCCGAGGACGGGGCCACGTGTGTTTTCCAGCTGAAGGGCCACATCACTCCGGTCCGGACTCTGGCCTTCAGCCCGGACGGCCTGGCGCTGGTGTCCGGAGGCGTCGGCGGCCTCATGAATATCTGGTCTCTGCGGGTAAGGAGCGTGTGGAAACGCTGCAGTCGCACCCAGACGTCCTGCTGCCGCCGTTTACAGACGCACCGAATGCCTTCACGCTGTGTAAACCTGTGTTGATGTTCCGCAGGACGGCTCGGTGCTGCAGACCGTCGTGGCCGGGTCCGGCGCCATCCAGAACATCGTCTGGATCCCAGATGTGGGCGTCGCCGTCTGCTCCAACAGGTCCAAGGTAAAACCACGTTCTGTTTATCTGTCTGTCCCGTTTGTCTCCGGTCTGCTTCACGCCTCGGTTCTGTTCCAGGACGTGCTGGTGGTGAACTGCTCCAGAGAGTTCATGGCGTCCAACCACGTGCTGGCGACGTGCCGCACGGCGCTGAAGAAGCAGGGCGTGGTCGGCCTCAACATGGCGCCCTGCATGAGGGCCTTCCTGGAGCGGCTGCCGGTGATGCTGCAGGAGCAGTACGCCTACGAGAAGGTCGGCCTTTACTCGTTTATGCTTCACCTGTTCGCCGTTTTAGATTTTCTGATTGTTCGCTTTTACTTGATGCATATTTTTTATAAGTAGTTTTTTTGTAATTACATTTTTTCTAAACAATAATACAATAATATCCATCCTATATATCACATAATCCCGTACTGACTGGGACAAAACCATCCATTCTGCTGCACTAGCTAACTTTATCTACCAATCTGAGTCTCTCTGGTTTTCGACCTCCAGCACTAACAACAAGTTAACTTTCACAACAAATCAGATTGCCTGCACACAAACCGGTGAACCCTCAGAGTGACCTTGTTCTTGTAAATCTGCTGCCTGAGTCCATCTGAAACCACTTCCATCATCAGATGGAGGGTTTGAACGGTGCAGAGCTTCAGTAATAACATGGATCACTGCTGTTTCCAGCTGCAGCTGCTCATTAAAGGCTGAAGCAGGATCAGATCTGCTGAGTCAGACCAGTTCATCCTGTTTGTCTGGGAGTCACGAGGGACGAAGCAGAAAAGACAATCAGCCAAATCTGCTGAAAGATTCCTCCTGACCTCAGAATCAGCTGATTATTTATGTACAACGATTAGAAAGCTGCTGTGACTCAGAGTGAATCCTGTCTACAGATGGTTCTGGTAGGTTCTGGAGGTAAAACGGTCCTTCCATTGTCTAGAACTGGTTCTGACCAACCACCACCACACATGCTGATACGAGCCTGGAAAGTTTACCCAGAATGCACTTTGTAAAGTTTCCTCTGGTGAATGATCAGAATCAGAACCACATCCAGGGTACCACTGATTGTTTCTGTGACTGTACTGATGAAGTTCTGAGGCTCAGAACTGATGGAAAAAGTCCATTAAAGTGATCAATCTGGACCCTCCTCTGTGGACTTGAAGGACCTGGACCTCTGGAACATTCACAGTCTGAAGGTAGAACTCTGGTCAGTAGATAAAGGTTCTGCAGAATCAGAACCAGATGTTCTGAGGAGGTCGGATCTTCATCAGGAACATATGGAACAACAAACCGGTTCATCCCTCTGTAGAACCATAAGCAGCAGTATTGATCACAGATTGGTGGTATTGATCGGTATCGTGTCTCCTTCCTTCAGCCTCACGTCGTCTGTGGCGAGCAGCTCGTCCACAGCCCCTACATGCAGTGTCTGGCCTCCCTGGCCGTCGGCCTGCACCTGGACCAGCTGCTGTGCCGCCCCCCGGTGCCGCCCACCCTCCGCCACTGCCCCCCAGAGTCCGGTACCGCCGTCTGGAGCGCCAGCGAGTGGGCCTGGCTCGACTGCTTCTCTACCACGGTGAAGGCGGCCGAGGCGCTGGCTCGAGGCGCCACCTTCCCCGAGGCCTTCTCCGTCCCCGACCTGGAGCCGGTGCCCAAAGACGAGATGGTTCTGCTGATGGTGAGGGTCCAGAGCTGCAGGTAGAACAGGATGAACACCTGCACAGGTGCTAACGATGTTTGTTTCTGCAGGACAACAGTAAATGGGCGTCTGGGATGGATGAGCAGATCATGTCCTGGGCCACGTCCAGACCAGAGGTACCTCATAACGAACGCTTCAGTGTTCTGGTCCCTGTGGGCCGGTACCAGTTTTAACCCACTGTCTGGTTCTGCTGCAGGACTGGCACCTGGGGGGGAAGTGTGACGTGTTTCTGTGGGGAGCAGGTCGACACGGTCAGCTGGCCGAGGCTGGAAGGAACATCCTGGTACCGACCACGGCGCCGTCCTTCTCTCAGGCTCAACAGGTACCAAGACCAGGCCAGAATACACCACAGGGGACACGCAGCTACTGGTTTTAGACTTTATTATTTATTAAAGCACATCATTAGGTTTAGAAAATATGTCTGTTTGTCTTTAGAAAGAAAAGAAATAAATATAAAACTGGTTTCAGATTTAAGACTTTCACACAAATCAACAGTTACTCAAACTGTAATTAAAATCACATTAAAAATCTGCCAAATCATATAGGATGTAGGATCTTGTCTTTGTGTATCTCCAGTGTTTGTCTACTCAGCTCTTTATTTCCTTCATCTGTTTTCTCCGTCTCGCCTCCTGCAGGTGGTCTGCGGTCAGAACTGCACCTTCGTGATCCAACCCAACGGGACGGTTCTGGCCTGTGGAGAAGGAAGCTACGGTCGACTGGGTCAGGGCAACTCGGACGACCTGCATGTTCTCACCGTCATCTCAGCGCTGCAAGGTGACGCCACGACCTTATCCGTCCTCACACTGTTGTGTTAAGTTGCTCAGTGGTCACAGGTGTGTCCTCAGGTGCACCGAAATACCTGTATGAGCTCCAAGCAGGAGCAAAAAGTCATCTGAAAAGGAGAAATTAAGGTTTAAATATGATCTTGTGTCAAAAGCCTGGTTTAGATTAGGCTCCATCCCTGTTGAAGTGTCTCCTTGTGTGGTGCTGCTCTGCTCCCAGAGCTCCTGTAACACCAGGACCACTCCCTCAACGTCCAGCTCCGTCTGTGACGAGCTCAATCTCCTAAAACTGTGACTTGATTTTCATACTGGGGAAGAGAAGGCAGCAGCAGGGACACGACTCTGGTGATCATGGCAGGTGTAGAGCTACGACTGTGTTTGCGGCATGTTTTCGCCGCCCCCTAGTGGCCGACCGATCGGCGCGTTAAACCCGACCGTGTGGTTCTGTCAGGTTTCGTGGTGACCCAGCTGGTGACGTCCTGCGGCAGCGACGGCCACTCCATGGCGCTGACAGAGAGCGGCGAGGTGTTCAGCTGGGGAGACGGCGACTACGGCAAGCTGGGCCACGGGAACAGCGACCGCCAGCGCCGGCCGCGACAGATTGAGGCGCTGCAGGGCGAGGAGGTGGTGCAGGTGGGTCTGAGGGTGTTGGATACAAGGCGTTCAGGGACCTGGTGGCACCAATTAACTCTTCTCTCTGCCCTCAGATGTCCTGCGGCTTCAAACACTCGGCCGTGGTGACCGCCGACGGGAAGCTCTTCACGTTCGGTAACGGAGACTACGGCCGGCTGGGGCTGGGAAACACGTCCAACAAGAAGCTGCCGGAGAAGGTCACGGCTCTGGAGGGATACCAAGTGGGACAGGTAGCCGGAGCAGCATTAATTAAACCGTCACTGTTGATCTGTGCTGAACCTGACGAACCAGTTAACGGTTTGGAGACGCGTTCAGGGTTTTTCTTTTTTATCGTATCATTGTTAAAAAAAAATAGCAGGAAAGATGAATTGTTTTCTTTC